CGAAAAATCAAAAAATCTAGAAATAGAAATATCAAAAAATTTAAAATTTAAATAGGTACATATCGAAAAATTGAAAAACGAGAAAAATTGAACGAAAAGTTGGAAAACCAGAAAACCCAAAAATGAAATTCGAAGAATTGAAATAGAAAATATCGAAGAACTGAAAAATCGAGAAATCTAAAATTTTAAAAATTGAAAAATTCCAAAACAGAAATGACGAAACATTGAAAAATCGAAACATCGGAAAATTCAAAAACTGAAAGATCGAGAAATTGAAACATCAAAAAATTTAAAATTTAAATAGGTACATATCGAAAAATTGAAAAACAGGAAAAATTGATCGAAAAACTGAAAAATCGACACATTGAAAACTTGAGAAATCCAGAAATGGAAAAATCAAAAATCGATTGAAAATTTAAAGAATCGAAACATCAAAAATATTGAAAAATAAAATTTTAAAATTCAAAACTCAGAAACAAATCGAAACAAAAAAATCGGAATATTAAAGAATCGATACTGAAAAATTGAGAAATTGGGAAATCGAAAAATTGAAAAATCGAAACATCAAAAAGTAGAAAAATCGAAAAATCAAAATGGACCAAAATCGAAAAGTTAGAAATTGAAAAATTTCAAATTAAAAAAATCGATGATTCGAAAAATTTTAAACCGAGAAGTCGAAAAATCAAAAGATCGAGAAATTGAAACACCAAAAAATTGAAAAATTTAAAATATCAAAACATAAAAAACTCCAGAAATTGAAAATTTTTCAAAATTGAAATGTCGAAAAATTGAGGAATCGAAAACTTGAAAAATCGGAAATTCGAAAAATCGAACAAATTTAAAAATCGATCAGTTGGAAAACCAAAAAACCCAAAAATAAAAAATTTTAAAATTCTAAAAATTGAAAGATAGAAATATCGAAGAACTGAAAAATCGAGAAATCTAAAATTTTAAAAATCGAAAAATTGAAAAATTGGAATATTGAATAATGGAGAAACTAAAAAATCAAGAAATTGAAAAATTCCGAAACGGAAATGACGAAAAATTGGGGAATCGAATAATTGAAAAATCGAAACATCAAAGATGAACAAATCGAAAAGTTAAAAATTGAAAAAATTTCAATTAAAAAAATCGAAAAATCTAAAACCGAGAAGTCGAAAAATTAAAAGATCGAGAAATTGAAACACCAAAAAAAAATTTAAAATATCAAAACATAAAAAAAACTCTAGAAATTGAAAATTTTTCAAAATTGAAATGTCGAAAAATTGAGGAATGGGAAACTTGAAACATCGGAAATTCGAAAAGTCGAACAAATTTAAAAATCGATCAGTTGGAAAACCAAAAAACCCAAAAATAAAAAATTTTAAAATTCTAAAAATTGAAAGATAGAAATATCGAAGAACTGAAAAATCGAGAAATCTAAAATTTTAAAAATCGAATAATTGAAAAATTTTAAAACAGAAATGACGAAAAATTGGGGAATCGAATAATTGAAAAGTCGAAACATCAAAAGGTGGACAAATCGAAAAGTTAAAAATTGAAAAAATTCCAATTAAAAAAATCGAAAAATAAAACTGAGAACTCGAAAAAACTAAAAAATTTAAAATTTAAAAATTCGAAAAATTGAAAAATAAGAATATCGAAAAACAAAAATCCAGAAATCGAAAAATCTAAAATTTTAAAACTAGAATAAAAAAAATACTCGAAGAATTAAAAAATCGAGAGAGGAACATCAAAAAATTTTAAAACGGGGGAAAAATTGAACGCAAAACTGAAAAATCGACAGATTGAAGAATCGAAAAATTGAGAAATCCCAATACTGAAATATCGAAAAATTGTAAATCGAGGAACTGAAAAATCAAAATATCGAGAATTCGAAACATCAAAAATATTGAAACATTTGAGAAATCGAAAAGTTGAACAATTTTAAACATCGAAAAAGTGGAAAATCAAAATGTTAAAAATTCGAAAAATTGAAAAATCGAGAAATCAAAAAATCTAAAATTTAAAAAATTGAAAAATTAAAATATTGAAAAATCGAGAATTCGAAAAATTGGAATATTGAATAAATGAGAAACCAAAAAATAGGGAATTTGAAAAATTCCAAAACTGAATTACCAAAAAATTGGGGAATCGAAAAAATCAAAAATCGAAACATCGGAAAATTCAACAATTGAAATATCGAGAAATCGAAAAGTTAAAAATTGAAAAAATCGAAAGATCTAGAAATTGAGAAATATTTAAAAATTCCAAAATTGAAATATCGAAAAATTGAAAAACAAGAAAAATTGAACGAAAACCTGAAAAATCGACACATTGAAAACTTGAGAAATCAAGATATGGAAAAAACGGAAAAATCAAAAAATCGATTAATCGAGAAATTGAAGAAGCGAATAATCGAAAAATTTATAATCGGAAAATTGAAAAATCGAAAGATCGAGAAATCGAAACATCAAAAATATTTAAAAATTTGGAGTATCAAAACTTTAAAAAATCTAGAAATTGAAAAGTTTTCAAAAGTGAAATTTTGAAAAATTGAAAAATCGGGAAATCTAAAAATCGAAAAGTCGAACAATTTTAAAAATCGGAAAACCGGAAAATCAACAAACCGAAAAATCAGTACGTTAAAATTTCAAAAAATTGAAAAATAGAAACTTGAGAACTCTAGAAATGGAAAACTCAAAATCTCGATTTATCGAGAAATTGAAGAATCGAACAACTGAAAAATCCCAACACTGAAATATCGAAAAATTGAAAATCGGGAAAGTGAAAAATCGAAAGATCGAGAAATCGGAATATCAAAAATATTGAAAAATTTGGAATATCAAAACTTTTAAAAACCCAAAAATTGAAAAATCGAGAAATCTAAGAATCGAAAAATCATCAAACCGAAAATTCAAAATGTTGAAAATTCGAAAAATTGAGAAATAAAAATATCGGAGAACTGAAAAACCAAGAAGTCAAAAAATATAAAATTTAAAAAATTGAAATATTGAATAATCGAGAAACTAAAAAATTGGGAAATTGAAAAATTCCAAACCTGAAATTACGACAAATTGGGAAATCGAAAAATTGAAACATCGAAAAATTCCACAACTGAAATCGAAACATTAAAGGATCAAGAAATCGAAAAGTTAAAAATTGAAAAAATTTCAATTAAAAAAATCGAAAAATCTAAAACCGAGAGGCCAAAAAATCGAAAGATCGAAAAATTGAAAAATAAAAATATGGAAAAACTGAAAAACCCAGAAATCGAAAAATCTAAAATTTTAAAAATGGAATTATAAAAATACCGCAAAATAAAAAATTCAAAAAATCGAAACATCAAAAGATTGAGATATCGAAAAATTAAAAATTGGAAAATTTTAAAGTAAAAAAATCTAAAACCGAGAAGTCGAAAAATCGAAAGATCGTGAAATCGAAACATCAAAAAAATTGAAAAACTTAAAATATCAAAACTTAAAGTCCAGAAATTGAAATGTTAAAAAATTGAAAAATCCGGAAATCTAAAATTTTAAAAATTGAAGCATTAAAATATCGAAAAATCGAGAAATTGAAAAATTCCAAAACTGAAATGACGAGAAATTGGGGAATTGAAAAATCGAAACATCGGAAAATTCAAAAACTAAAATATCGAGAAATCGAAAAATTGAGACATCGAAATAGATCAAAATCGAAAAGTTAGAAATTCAAAAAATTTAAAAATCCAAAACCTAGAAGTCGAAAAATTGAAAATGGAAAAACTGAAAAATCGACACATTGAAAACTTGAGAAATCGAGATAAATTACCATCTACATGATATATATACAAAATTTTACAACAATCAGTCGGAGATTTTCTATTTTGTAAAAATGCGAACGAGAGACCTATTTTTGGAGAAAACATTAAAGTAGCCAGTCATCCGATCGACTCGATTAGCTTGCTCGGAAACTAAAAATAGTTTATTGACTGTCTGACTGGAAGTTTTGCACTCGTTCATAACAATGAGGATAATAAAAAGTCGGAATTACCAACGCCGACAAAATAATATTTAAAATTTTCTGAAAGAATGACGGTATGGTTTTTTATTTATTCTTTTTTTTGTTCGTTAAAGTGAATTGAATGTTAAATAAATAAAATTGTGCACAAACTGTCTGATCAAAAACTCCGTTCATTGAGTAGTACACATTGAAAATAACGAAGCCAAGTCACGTGCGAATTTAATTACAGCCTAATCTCAAATGGAGGTTTTAACATCCCAAACAACAATACATTCGGTAAAATTAGAATGAATTCTTGTACTCCCAAAACAAAGAAACATCAAAATAGCAATTAAATTGAATCAATTAACTGACTATAATAAATCTTTAATCAGTTGTCTGGTAGTTGTAAAGAACAATGAGGTAAATGTTTTACGACCAACGAAAATATTATTATCTTTTTCACATAAACAACTTAGAGGCCAAAAAAATAAAAGAAATATTAAATAAGTGAAGCTTATTTTTGTCAGGTGCAAAAAATCCATTACCTAATGGTGCACTCTTCAAATATGAAAAAACAAACGTATGTCTATTGTTCAGTTAAAGTCACTTTGGCAGAGTATAAAACGCATATATGGAAAAGTTTAGTTTTTAAAAACCTCGATTTCCTAAAAAAAAAGAAAAAGAAAAAAAGGCGGTACATAAATCCTTCACAGTCTGTATAGTCTTTATTAATGTGTGACTGCTACAACTTGATTTTTTTAACCAAATATGGCACAACTTTTAAAAACCTTGCAATATTCATCGATAAGAGTCATTTTTGCGTTATAAAAACTAAAATAATTGTCAACTTGAAGCTACTAAAAGCGTAATTACACCTCATTTATCGCACCTGTTTCCCAAAAACATGCGCAAAAACCCCATCATTTCCACCGCCACACTTCGCCTCGAACTTGACATTCACCGAATGCCAGCCGTCCACGAACCCCAGCAACAAACCCGACCTTGCGTCGAACTTATCAGACCTCGTCAATTTCCAGGAGAACCCCACGCATTGCATCCACATGAACCTACTGACGAAACGGATATGGTGTTACGAGTGCAAATCTGAGGTGTTCATGGAGGCGTCGACGGGGGCGCCGTCGTCGTACGACAGCGACCAGGAGATGGAGGGCTGCACTTACAAGTCGCGCGACTCCGGCCACGGCAGCTACAGCACGCTGCGCACGAACACGCCGGAGAGGATGAACGTGTTCGCGTTCGAAAAGACGGTGGGGCTTAACGTGGGCATGAGCGGGGACGCGTCCGAAGGTAGTGACGCCGAGGACCCTTCCGATTATAATGTTGACAGGCCCGTAGGACTCGTCGGCCTCCAGAACATCGGCAACACGTGCTACATGAACGCGGCGCTGCAGGCGCTGAGCAACGCGGTGCCGCTGACGAGGTTCTTCCTGGAGTGCGCGACGACGGTGCAGATTTTATCGGAGGGGAAGAAGCCGGGACTGAGCAGGACGTACCAGACGCTGATCAGGGATATGTGGAAGAAGAATGGGGGATACGTCACGCCGTCAGGTGAGTAATTGTGTGGTTTTGGAAATTTTGGAATTTTCTTGGAAAAAAAAAGATCCTGTAAACTCGAAAAATATTTTTTTTGAAATATTTCGCCTGATTATCGCGGTCGTGGTCATGTGAAGTCAGGTCATGCCAAGTCAGTCAAGCCAAATCAGGTCATGCCAAGTCAAGTCATGTCATGCCAAATCAGGTCATATCAGGTCAGGTCATGATATAAAAAGACGGAATTGTCTCACTTGACATAGTCGCGACAGTGACCGTACAGGCATTTCGTAATCCCTGTTAATCTTCTCGTCTCGGTGGAGTGAAATTGCGACCCTCTGTGTGATCCGCTCGTCGCAGAAGGAATTGCAATAATTTGCCCTGATTTTGGCAAATGACATACCCTCTAAGAAAATAAAGGGATGGACGAGGTTGATAGCTGCTAAGACTAATTTTGGCAAATAAGGTACTCTCTAAGAAAATTGAGGTGTTCCATGTGAAAAACACGAGAAAACTGGCAATTAGTAAATTTAATTACCCTGTATAAAGAATTGGAAACTGGAACAATATTTTTTGTAATATCTCGCCTGCATATCACGATTGTGGTCCTAACTTCCTCATTCTATAACGGAGAATCCTGAGATTTTCTATACCTACTAATTCCAACATCCTGATTCCGGATCTTAGTCAAAGTTTACCTACAGAGATTCCTGGATTTTTTTTCTATGATATTACCCATTGTAGAGGTAGTACAAACAATTTATTGTTATATTGCCTCCCATAATTGTTTTAGATCAACACGTTAAATAGAAAAGTTATAGAGAATAAAACACTGTGTCTAAATCATGATTTATTCTTTTTGTAATACTTTATGGTATTGAAATAAAAACAAAAAAGAATTCACGATTTTTAATAAAATAGTACCAGCCATGACTTGTGTCTGTCAAATAAAATTCATTGCTTTGATATTTTGGCTGTTTAATTTAAATTCATTTTTCCCCCCTTCTTCAAATTTCGCAAAAATTTTGCATTTTCGAAACTCAACTGAATACATTTTCTTGTACATTTCGTGATGTAGAACTCAAATCCGGTTTCGGTTTTTTGATACCTGCAACCCTTTTTCCAGAATCGACCGTTGAAATTTCAACATTTTTGAAATTTTCAAAAATTCGCATTTCGCAGCAATTTTTTCTAAAATGTTGCTTCGTGACCATCAACATGCTATATTTTTGGAATCAGCGTGTCGAGATCTACGTCCCTGAATTTTTTCATAATTTTTAGGCAACTTTCTTCAAATTTCGCAAAAATGTTGACATTTTCGAAACTCAACTAGACAACTTTTTCAAAATTGAAATTTTTTAATCTTCAAATTTCGCAAAAATTTTGACATTTTCGAAACTCAACTAAATACACTTTCTTGTAGATTTCGAGATTTAGAATTCAAATCCGGCTTCCGTTTTTTGATACCTGGAACCGTTCTTCCAGAATCGACCGTTTAAGTTTCGAAATTTTTGAAATTTTCAAAAATTCGCATTTCGCAGCGATTTTTTCGAAAATGTTGCTTCGTGACCATCAACATGATATATCTTTGGAATCAACGTGTCGAGATCTACGTCCCTGAGTTTTTTCATTATTTTCTGACAACTTTTTTAAAATTGAAATTTTTTAATGGTCCCCCCCTTCTTCAAATTTCGCAAAAATTTTGACATTTTCGAAACTCGACTAAATACATTTTCTTGTAGATTTCGAGACCTAGAACTCAAATCCGGCTTCGGTTTTTTGATACCTGCAACCGTTTTTCTAGAATCGACCATTGAAATTTCGAAATTTTTGAAATTTTCAAAAATTCGCATTTCGCAGCGATTTTTTCGAAAATGTTGCTTCGTGACCATCAACATGATATATTTTTGGAATCAGCGTGTCGAGATCTACGTCCCTGAATTTTTTCATTATTTTTAGACAGCTTTTTTAAAATTGAAATTTTTTAATGATCCCCCCTTCTTCAAATTTCGCAAAAATTTTGACATATTCGAAACTCAACTAAATACATTTTCTTGTAGATTTCGAGTTCTAGAACTCAAATCCGGCTTCGAAATTTCGAAATTTTTGAAATTTTCAAAAACTCGCATTTCGCAGCGGTTTTTTCGAAAATGTTGCTTCGTGACCATCAACATGATATATTTTAGGAATCAACGTGTCGAGATCTACGTCCCTGAATTTTTTCATAATTTTTAAACAACTTTTTTAAAATTGAAATTTTTTAATGCCCCCCCTCCCCCTTCTTCAAATTTCGCTAAAATTTTGACATTTTCGAAACTCAACTAAACATATTTTCTTGTTGATTTCGAGCTCTAGAACTCAAATCCGGCTTCGGTTTTTTGATATCTGCAACCGTTTTTACAGAATCGACCGTTAAAATTTCGAAATTTTTGAAATTTTCAAAAACTCGCATTTCGCAGCGATTTTTTCGAAAATGTTGCTTCGTGACCATCAACATGATATATTTTTGGAATCAGCGTGTCGAGATCTACGTCCCTGAATTTTTTCATAATTTTCAGACGACTTTTTTAAAATTGAAATTTTTTAATTAAATAATTCTTCAAATTTCACAAAAATTTTTACATTTTCGAAACTCAACTAAATACGTTTTCTTGTAGATTTCGAGCTCTAGAACTCAAATCCGGCTTGGGTTTTTTGATATCTGTTTTTCCAGAATCGACCGTTGAAGTTTCGAAATTTTTGAAATTTTCAAATATTCGCATTTCGTAGCGATTTCTTCGAAAATGTTGCTTCGTCACCATCAACATGCTATATTTTTGGAATCAGCGTGTCGAGTTCTGCGCCCCTGAATTTTTTCATAATTTTTGGACAATTTTTTTAAAATTGAAATTTTTTAATGGTCCCCCCTTCCTCAAATTTCGCAAAAATTTTGACATTTTCGAAATTCAACTAAACATATTTTCCTGTTGATTTTGAGCTCTAGAACTCAAATTCGTGATCATCAACATGGTATATTTTTGGAATCAGCGTGTCGAGATCTAAGTCCCTGAATTTTTTCATAATTTTTAGACAACTTTTTTAAAATTGAAATTTCTTTAAATTTCGCGAAAATTTTAACATTTTCTAAACTCAACTAAATACGTTTTCTTGTAGATTTCGAGCTCTAGAACTCTAATCCGGCTTCGGTTTTTTGATACCTGCAACCCTTTTTCCTGAATCGACCGTTGAAATTTCAAAATTTTAAAATTTTCAAAAATTCGCATTTCGCAACGATTTTTTCGAAAATGTTGCTTCGTGACCATCAACATGATATATTTTTGGAATCAGCGTGTCGAGATCTACGCCCCTGAATTTTTTCATTATTTTCAGACAACTTTTTTAAAATTGAAATTTTTTAATGTTCCCCCCTTCTTCAAATTTCGCGAAAATTTTGACATTTTCGAAACTCAACTAAATACATTTTCTTGTAGATTTCGAGCTCTAGAATTCAAATCCAGCTTCGGTTTTTTGTTACCTGCAACCGTTTTTCCAGAATCGACCGTTGAAATTTCGAAATTTTTGAAATTTTCAAAAATTCGCATTTCGCAGCGACTGAAGATCCATAAGAGAAAATATTTTTTATTTCTTGTAAAGAAATAAGTATTTTGCAATTAAGCTCCGCTCTCTTGGCTCACCACGAATAAGAAAATCATCACAATTGAGACAGGGTGGGTGGGCGGGGCACATATTTTGCCTGTTTTTTCTTATCTTTAAGTTTCTCATCTTTTCGCAACAAGAAACTTAAAACACGGTTAAAATGGTACATTATTGCAAGGAAATATGGATTTTGCAAGTATGGGGCGGAGGCAAATTGCAAAATCGATATTTCCTTATACAAATTTTCCATTATAAAAATTTTAAAGGGGTAAAAAGGGTGTGCACGTATTAAAACGAAAAGGCTAAATGTAAGCCAGCCCACCCACCCTATCTCAATTGCGATGATTTTTTTTATTGGCCGCGGAGCTTAACTGCAAAATACTTTATTTCTCAAGAAATTAAAAACATGTTTTTGTGTATCGTGTTGTTCAAAGAATACTAGGGATATATTATGCAAAAAATCCAATATTAAGCCCCACCCACCCTCCCCGATCTCAGTTGTGATGAATTTTTCATTCGTTGTCAGACCGAGAGGCGAAGCAGAATTGCAAAATCCATATTTCCCTGCAAAAATTTACCTTTTTAAACATGTTTTCAGTTTATTGTTGTGAAAAGAAGACCACTGCTTTAAAAAAAAAATGCAAAATATAATACAGGCTTCTCGACCATGGTTTATTTTTGAAAGTTCTATGCAACGTTGTCACGTTGTTTCCATTTTACTTGATTTTGTTTAACAATGCACACACAAAAATTGCAATATGTAATAATGTGGCAACGTCGCATACGTATGTCAAATATAAAATAGAACCTAAACAGAGGTCAATCGGAGTACACAAAAATGTATACGGGGTGTTCTGTTACTTATAACTCTTTGTAACTATATTTTGTTTTTGAAATTCTGTTGCAACGTTGCCACGTTATTCCCATTTTTTGGAACCTTTTTAAAATGCACACACAAAAATGGCAACAGGGTTCATTTTAACATCTGCGACATAATATTTTTTGAAAAGTAAATAAATGTGCGCGTTTTATATAGTATCGGTGTCGTAACATAAAGAGTGTTTATAAAAAGATTCTGAAATGTTATAATTTTCGAAATTATGTCTTCATGTGCTCTGTTTTTATTTTCTTTCTTTCAGACATGTTTTTTCATTTTCCCGATTTTCCAATTTTCATTTTCTTGATTTTATATCAGTTTTTCGTTTATTTTTACCAAAACTTTCGGTTATGAAGAACTCGATTATGATGATCTCGTGTGACAGGAAAACTTGTTAAGTAAATTAATTTTAAATTTTAAAAGTACAAAATGTTGGACAAATTCTAACCTCAAATTCACCAATTTTAATTAAGTATTCTATTGTTGAAAGAAAACTATATATGTGTATAAAAAAAAAACATAGATGAAGCCCAATTGTGATTAATTTTTTATTCCTTGTCAGCCCGAGGGGCGGAGCATATTTGCAAAATCAACATGTTATCAGTTTACTGTTGTGAAAAGATCACCGATATTTAAAAAAGAGGCAAAATATAAGCCCCGCCCACCCGCCCACAACTCAATTGTGATAATTTTTTTATTCGTCGATATTGAAATAAAAAGAACAAAGAATTTGCGATTTACAATAAAATAGTACCAGCAATGACTTTTGTCAGTCAAATAAAATTCATTATTTCGACATTTTGGCTATTTAGTTTAAATTCATTTTTCTGATTTTGGGTTCGAAACACACTTTAAGACATGCTAGATTAATTAAATTTTCCATTTCTCGTCAAAGTGGATTTGAATTGCGGCCCTCTGCGTGATCCGCTCGCCGTAGACGGAATTTTCTTACTTGACGTAGTCGCGTCGGTGACCGTAAATGTAATTCATAATCCCTCTCAATCATCATTTCGGTGGAGTGAAATTGCGGCCCTCTGTGTGATCCGCTCGTCACAGAAGGAATTGTAATAATTTGCCCTGATTTTGTCAAATGACCTGCACTCTAAGAAAGTGGAGAGCGGGTGGGCGGGGCTAGTACCTGCTAAGATAAGACTGATTTTGGCAAATGACATACACCCTAAGAAAAGAAAGGGCGGGTGGGCGTTACTAGTACTTGCTAAGATAAGACTGATTTTGGCAAATGTATACCCTCTATGAAAAGAAAGGGTGGGTGGGCGGGCCTAGTATTTGCTAAGATAAGGCTGATTTTGGCAAATGATGTATTCTCTAAGAAAGTTGAGGTGTTGCATGTGAAACATACGAGGAAACTGACGATTTGTAAATTTAATCGCCTTGTATAAAAAATTGTTTAATTCGTACGGCAACGCCCTCGAACGGCCAACTTACCGGCCCAAAAAATATTACATTTAAAACGTTGAAAGAAATAAGACGACGCCACATATATGGATACTTTTACTAAGGTCTGCTTACATGTTTCGATACAATTGTATCATCTTCAGAGCTACATATATTAAACAGGAAAAATTGAGTATCAAAAACAAAATTAGGGAACACTTACCATTAGATAAACATAGAATTTACATTATTTATATTATGGATGTCAAGTAATGGCTACCAACAGCCTACTTATGTGAAAGAGGGAATACATACAAGGTTTCTATAAATGATTATAGGGTCGAAGTAGGTCATGGATGTGTGCCGCCTATCAATTTATGCGAATATTACTAAATGCTCAAGGCTTCACGACAGATACCAGACGCGTGCGTATATCGGGTTGCCTAAATTCTTCATATCTCAAGCAAACAAAACTTAATTCATTACAATAAAAAGAAAGAAATTTATTGTTTTTAAACGTCACAGTAAATGTTGAAAATGTTCACCATTTTGTTATAGACACATATTCACTCTCTTTTTAATATCAAAAAAGTTCTGTAACATCCTTTCGTCAATACTTTGGATCCATTGTTCAATTTCATGTTGCAACAAGAACTCTTGACTGCTGAGACAATCTTGTCAAAGATGTTTGTGGATTCTGATCGAGTCATCTCAAACCCAGAACAACTTCCTCAGATATTGAAGGTCTTCCGGATTTTCCTTTGTTGACACTTTCAGTTTGACATCTCAAATCATCAACAACTTCCTCATACACTGAAGGGAGAAGATTTCCCTTTGTTGAGATTACCAGTTCTACCAAATGTGTTGACTACATCTTCTCTAAAGTGAGCCTTTAACGATGTTTCTGGAATTTGCAAATCAGAGTTTTTGGCCAGTTGTTCTTGCTTACAAAGGGTTACAGAATGCACCCACTCTCAGTTTACGAATGTACAATGAAAGTGTGTGAAATATCTCGCCTAACAAGTCGCGGTTGTAGTCCTAACGTCCTCACACAGAGTACTAAAAATTTTTATACCCACTAATTCCTTCTAAATTTGCGAATCCGAATCCTAGTTCCTACCGAGCTTCCTGTTTTTTGTTTTTTGTTTAATTTTTTATATGACTTGAGATGACCTGGGTTGACAAGACCTGACTTGACATAACATTTGAAAGTTAGTAGGTGCATTGTTGAAAATCTTTCTCATTATTGATTTTTGTTTCTACGCAGGAATTTTATACGGAATCAGGAGCGTCCACCCCATGTTCCGAGGCTATTACCAACACGACACCCAAGAATTCCTTCGGAACTTCATGGATCAGTTACACGAAGAACTCAAACAGGTGGCGCCACCCGAATCTGCCTCCATAACCGACTCCGACACCTTCAGCCTCGCCATGGACGAACCCGCGCTTAGTTCCAGCTACGATTCGAGCGAAGGGGAATACGAAACATGCGACTCTGGAGTGAGTGAAAGATCTAGTCTTAGCGACGATACCGAGAGACCTGCAAGCAGTACGAAGAGGCGACTAAGTCGATCCTCGAGTCCTGGAAGGAGGATACGGACGAGGTTACAGAGCAACAGTATGGTCATAGGTAAATTTCGTAACCCAACAATAGAGATTCGCTTCAACAACGTTGCTTTGTAGATTCGCAACCCAGTACAAGTTCGTCGAGCAGTGCCAGTACAAACAAAAAACAACAAAAATACAGATCGATCATTTCGGACATCTTCGACGGGAAACTTTTGTCATCGGTTCAGTGTCTGACGTGCGATCGAGTGTCTAGTCGTGTCGAAACATTCCAAGACCTTTCGCTACCTATACCGTCGAGGGACCACCTCGTGGTGCTCCACGGTCGCACCACGGGACCCGGCTCCACGTGTTCCGAAGCCGTCATTCCCATGAACGAGGGCTGGATATCCTGGATTCTGGCGTGGTTGAAGTCGTGGTTCTACGGTCCCGTGGTGACGTTACACGACTGCTTGGCGGCCTTTTTCAGCACGGACGAACTGAAAGGGGACAACATGTACAGTTGCGAAAAGTGCAATAAACTCAGGAATGGTATTAAATTTAGCAAAGTACGTAAAACCTTGTCAGTCAGATCTGTTTTCTTACACAATCTCTATGTTGCAGGTTCTGCAGCTGCCTGAAGTCCTCTGTATTCACTTAAAACGGTTTCGCCACGAACTAATGTTCAGCAGTAAAATCTCCTCAGCAGTCAGTTTTCCGTTGAAGGGTCTGGACATGCGACCGTATCTACACACTGAGTGTGTGTCGAAAGTCACAACGTACGAATTATTTTCGGTTATTTGTCACTACGGTACAGCCGGTGGAGGGCATTACATCTGTTATGCGTTAAACGGTGGTCAGTGGTACGAATTTGACGATCAGTATGTGACACGTGTACCTCCCGAGAAAGTCCAATCGTGTGAAGCGTACGTTTTGTTTTACCGGAAAGTGACCAATACGGCAGACGAAGTCAGAAGTAAGGCGATCAAGCTGTCGAAGGCGCACTCCAGTGAAGCGTATGAGATTGCCTACGTGTCGAAGCAGTGGATTAGCAGGTAGGTGAAACCATCTACGCTAGAACTAGAACTCATTTCGATGGTTGTACCCGAAATTTTAACAATGAAATGATAAAACTTTGGAAGTATTTTTTTGAATTCAGCTCATTTCACCAAAAACGCTCTTTAATCATAGTTATTAATAAACTGGGCGTACCCAGGTTACAAAAGGTCAGTGTCTTTTTAGCAAAGGTTGCTTCGTTCTTTATAAAATAATGTTACAATCTGAAGGCATCTATTCTTAGCGAAACGACCTTGCTATGATTTATTGAGCTGTCAGGGATTACACTTTGATTGTAATTGAAAGCTGGAAATGTCGTGAGATCTTTTGATATTGCTGTTTCACGTTTACTTTGTTGCGGTTTTCATTGAAATAGTGTATAATTTCACATTCAACGGCAAAATTTAAATTTTCGATTTTTTGCTCAATGTTAATTCACCTTTTGTGTACATGTTTTTGATGAAAACGCGATTTATATCAACTAATCTTGTAAGATTAATGAGAATCTAATTAATTCGCTTAACGTTTGATTCGCACTTTACAAAGATTTCGTATGAGCGTTGCCAATTCGTTAAAAGCACACCGAAATTTATCTCGTATCAAACCTATCGTTGTCAAAGTTTCATTTTTAGACAAATAAATCGTATTTTTTTAGATATATTTTTTTGCTATTTTGCGCTTTTTTGAAACCTACTAGAATTTTTTTTTAGTGTGACAGTAATATAAATTAACCATTTTCGATTCTACAACTTCACAAAAATATTTTTGCAGCTCAAGTCGAAAATTTTTGATAATAAATTATTACTTTCTGAATTTTTTTACATGCGTTTAGTGCGCGCTTGGAAGAAATATAAAAAAAATATTGTCATGAAAAAAGCCAAAAATAATTTTTTGTGGTTATCGAAATATGAGTTATAAATAACAGGAAACATATTTAAAAAAAGAGGTCTCCCATTTCCATCTGCCTGTCGTCTGTCAGTCTTTCTGTCTATGTGTCCGTTTGTCTGTCGTCTGTACATGTGTCCATCTGTCTGTGTCGATTTTTTTTAAGACAGATAATCCCCGAAACTCCGGACCAACTGTTGTCAAATTTTATAAGTATATTACTATCATGTATGCTCAGAAATCCTGCAGATGTTTTAAGGTTTTCATAAATGTGGTAAATCGTTAATAAAAATTGTTTTGTTTATGCCCCCTCAAAGAATCATGACGTCATTTTGCAGAATAAATTTTCCTTATTTTTATAAAATTACGTGTGCATGTGTGATTTATGAATTCGTGTCGAATTTTTACCCTAGACATCCAGATTTTTGGGAAAAAATACAATATAAATATAGACATTTTACTATTTAACTTTGAAATTGCAAAACGAATGCTCTTGTAAACGTTTTTAATCACAGTAAATCGTTAATCAAAATTTGTTCGTCATCTTACAATTTTGCCAAATACGTTTTTCAAATTTATGAGTGCTTTTGGAAAAAAACTAAGCGTGGTTAATTTTTTTACCACTCATGCCTCTAATTTGGACCTGTGAATAGTCGAATTCGTTCGAAGTATAAACATAAATAGTTGAATTTAAGCATGTACTGATAAATTGAGAATATCTTGTTCAAAGTGTGCAATAATAAAATACTAAAAATAAAATATTACGTATGTGATATTCAATGACTCAAAAAAGAAAGGAAATTAATTAATTTTATTGATTATATTAAAAACTGCTGTAGTTTAAGAATCCACACCTATATTCCGTTGAACTTATAGAGTTATAATAAAAATTATTAATAAAATTCATCAAATTTAAGATTTTACAATTTATCGAAGAAACTAGATTTTTTTAGTTTTACTTCAGGGCGAGGGAAGTTCTCCCTCAAGAACTTGAGACCAATTTTTATTTCCCGAGCATGAGCTAAGGTAGTATTATAAGAGGGTCATCCGCCGAATGGTTACTTTGATGTTTTTTCGACGTTTCATGACTCCTAGAGTACAAAAAAATAGGTCCCCGTTTCCGTTTGTTAGTAATTTTTTTATGTATGTTAAAAATATCGTGTGAATGGTAGAACGAAAAACAAGTTTGATGACGTCAACTCAAATTTTCACAGTAAATGGTATTCCAATTTTATAAAATCGCATACCTTACATATCCAGATTTTCGCAAAAAAGTTACAATTGTGTAACATTTTATACGAACATAAAAATCACATTCCCCAACAGCCGTTTACAAACTTACAAACGAGGGAAGTTCTGTCTAATTACATAAGACCTTTTTTTTAAGTGCCCCACATTTTAGGAAGTATTGAATAAATCCTCATGTTCTTCTCATTATATTGGCACTCTAATATAGTAATTTTAACTAATGGAATAATTTGCCATTTCTCGACATTTTCCGGCATAAACCATACAGAAATGTCAACTGACTACCGGGAAATTTAGATGTACTTTAAAGTTATATCGGGTGATTTTTTAAGTTTCTGCTCTTGTTGGCCATGACGCTTACGTCAGTCGTTTCAATTTATTGCTCTGTTGACGTACGCGTCATGGCTAACTAGAACATCCCCACCAAAAATTCGATGACATCTCAAAATTTAACAAAAAAAAATGCTTGAACCCTATATTTATCTTTTTTTTATCGTTTATCTACAGTTTTGTGGTATATCTGTATTTTTCACCGCAGTGCATATTGATTGTATTAAATAAAGGAAAATTTGTTGAATGAAATTTTAGAATTAGCCGCAAATCCCAATAATATTTTTTATTATGATTTTATTATTCTGTTATGTAAACAAAATTTTCTTCATAAGATTGTTGTAAAGAAATTCCAGTCAAGAAAAGTCGATGAAGTGTTGACCTCCCGTTCCCGTTTATCTTTGTGGCTTGTCTTCTGTTTGCCAATTTATTAGACAAATAATTCCTGAAATTACCGATCAGATTGTTTTGAAATTTTTGGATGTTTAAATGTTGATGACATTTCAAAATTTTGCGAAGTAAATCTCATTTAAAACGTTAAAAAGACCATACTTCTGTATATATAGTGTCATCATCATACAGTATTATTTACTAGAGTTATCTACAGCAAATTCTGGGAACACATTATCGTTCTTATTACTTTTCAAACGTAAGTTAAAAAGTAATATCCCGTTTCTGTCTGTCTGTCTGTCTGCCTGTCTGTCTGTCTGGTGTCTGTATCCATTTGTATTAGACACTTCGACTGTTGTCTTTATTTAAAATTGTAAAACCTTCTCGGGAGCGCCAAATGTCTTTTTTTAAAAATATGAAACCTCGGAGTGTGCCAACTGTCTTTCTAAAAATGTAAAACCTTCTCAGAGGTCTCAAATGTTTTTTTTTTTTAATGTAAAACCTTCTCGGGGATATCAGCTATCCTTTTTTTTTTAATGTAAAACCTTCTGGAGGGCACCAAATGTATTTTTTTTTTTTTAAGTATGTGAAATCTTCTCAGGGGTTCCAACTATCTTTTTTAAAAATGTAAAACCTTCTCAGGGGCCCCAAATGTCCTTTTTTTTTAATGTAAAACCTTCTCGGGGTCCCAACTGTCTTTTTCAAAAATGTATAACCTTCTCGAGGGCCCCAAATGTATTTTTTTTTTTAAGAATGTAAAACCTTCTCAGGGGTTCCAACTGTCTTTTTTAAAAAAGTAAAACCTTCTCAGGGGCCCCAAATGTCTTTGTTTTTAATGTAAAACCTTCTCGGGGGTCCCAACTGTCTTTTTTAAAAGTGTAAAACCTTCTCGAGGGCCCCAAATGTCTTTTTTTTAATGTAAACACTCGGGGGTCCCAGCTGTCTTTTTTTAAGAATGTGAAACCTTCTCGGGTGCCCCAAATGTATTTTTTTTTTAAGAATGTGGAACCTTCTAAGGGGTCCCAATTGTCTTTTTTAAAAATGTTAAACCTTCTCAGGGACCCCAAATGTCTTTTTTTTTAATGTATAACCTCGGGGGCGCCACATGTCTTTTTTTTATGTAAAACCTTCTCGGGAGTCCCACCTGTTTTTTTAATGTAAAACCTTCTCAGGGGTTCCAACTGTCTTTTTTTAAAAATGTAGAACTTTCTCGGGGACGCCAAATGTCTTTTTTAATGTAAAACCTTCTCGGGGGTCCCAACTATCATTTTTAAAAATGTTAAACCTTCTCGTGGGTCCCAACTGTCTTTTTTAAAAATGTAAAACCTTCTCGAGGGCACCAAATGTCTTTTTTTAGTAAAACCTTCTCGGAGGTCCCAACTGGTTTTTTTATGTGAAACCTTCTCGGAGGTCCCAACTGGTTTTTTTTATGTAAAACCTTCTCGGGGGTCCCAACTGTCTTTTTTAAAAATATTAAACCTTCTCGGGGGTTTCGACTGTCTTTTTTAAAAATGTAAAACCTTCTCGGGGACGCCACATGTATTTTTTTTAAGAGTGTGAAATTTCGGGAATCCAACTGTCTTTTTTAAAAATGTAAAACCTTCTCGGGGACGCCAAATGTCTTTTTTTTTAATGTAAAACCTTCTCGAAGGTTCCAACTGTCATTTAAAAATGTTATACCTTCTCGCAGGCCCAACCTGTTTTTTTTATGTAAAACCTTCTCAGGGGTTCCAACTGTCTTATTTTAAAAATGTAAAACCTTCTCGAGGACGCCAAATGTCTTTTTTTTTAAGTAAAACCTTCTCGGGAGTCCTAACTATCTTTTTTAAAAATGTTAAACCTTCTCGGAGGTCCCAACTGGTTTTTTTATGTAAAACCTCGGGGGTCCCAACTGTCTTTTTTGAAAATATTAAACCTCGGAGGTTTCGACTGTCTTTTTTAAAAATGTAAAACCTTCTCGGGGGTTCCAAGTGTCTTTTTTAAAAATGTTAAAACTTCTCTGGGGTCCCAAGGGCCTTTTTTAAAAACGTAAAACCTTCTCGAAGGCACCAAATGTCTTTTTTTTTTAGTGAAACCTTCTCGGTGGCCCCAAATGTATTTTTTTTAAGAATGTAAAACCTTCTCAGGGGTTCCAACTGTCTTTTTT